TGGTTCATTTTATCAATTGTTTAGGAAATGAGTGTTTTTGCAGAAAAAGCATTGAATGGTTTATATTAAACGGATATTAAACAGATATTGCAATTAATAATTAGTATAATTAATTAATCGCACATGAGGTACATTAAGTGATAATTAATTTTGCAGTGAAAGTGCGGTACTTGACAAAAACAATACCGGTACTTTATCATTATTTTATCGATTACACGAATTATGCAATTATGAAAATACTGTACTTCAAGTTAAGTTAATTTTTAATTATTTATATAATATATGGACTAATATTGGATGACCTTGAATTTTGACTTAATTATAATTACTATAATTTTCGAAAAGAATATACATTTATATAAATATTAAAATAATGTATATTATTCATAGTCTATGAATATTAATTGTTTTATCTTTTTTTGTAATTTAAATTTTTATTATTATATCCAAAAAATAATATTTTACTTATTTGGATAGACTAAAATGGCATTGAATTTATTTTTTCGAAATAATATTTAAATATTGATACTTAGACGATATTGGTAATATTACGATGACTACACTGAATTTCCTAATCTAATTTATTTATGACCATTAAGTCTTTAATCGTTTATAAATGCTTTCGTAAATAGTAATTTTTATGTAATAGTTATTCACTATTAATAGTACTGTATTATATTATCTAAAGGTGTACGAGTAATACGAATACAGAATATGAATGATAAAAATAAACAACATTAGAGAATATTCTTACCAGAATTACATTGAGTGACATTCACACAGAGTTGTAGTTAATAATGAAACAGAATTATGCAATAAATGTAAACTTCAATACAATTGTTGTAATGAAACGGCAAGAAATAAAACACTTGACACTATGAACGGCTCATATCGAAATGAACACGAATGAAAAAAATGCCACTTTTTGTCTGCAATCTATTGAATTTGTGTTATACAGTATATAAATTGCATATACATTGCACCGGCGCTCAACTTATCAGGCAATCAATGGCTAAACACTCGACAATTTGGACGAATAATAGCTAATATCCGAGAGTTGACTCAAAATATGCCTGTTTCAAATGATATTTGAGTTTTATAATAAATAGGGTTTTAATTATCATTTTTACACTTAATGACCCTCAATAGTACAACTACTTTTGCATTGCATAGACGCCAGTAATTTTAGTGCAAAAATCAAGTTTTTGTAACACATTTATGCTAAAATCAATAAATATTTTATTATTAGTTTATGAATATGAATGAATAGATTCTTGATTTATAAGAAGTACTGCTAAACCAGTTGTATATTCTTAAGAAATTCTTGTTTCCATTCATTAGTCATACAGTAATTCATATAAATCTCAAAGCATTGAATAGTCGATCAAATTGTCTGCAAATGATAAGTAAATACATAAAGTTGTATTTTATAGTATAATCTAGAATTTATACACACTTTTAATGACATTTTTATTCTTATGAATCCTGAAAACAACCCAGATTATAATTATATTACAAATTCCTGTTCATACTCTCTATCGCTAACAAGTTATCATATCTGAAATTAATTGAACACTTTTAGTGGCAAAATAAGTGTTTCGTAACTTAAACATAAACTTATATAAGACTCGTATAGCGCCAGAGTGGCAGACACTATGAAATTTGATGTATAAATGGACTCAAATTGCAAACAATTGTCGTCAGGAGTCGTATGAATCGAAATGAAAGCAAAAGTCGATTCCAGAAATAAATGCACTTTTTTAGTGCAAAATTAGTGCAATTCTCACTCATATTAATACAGTCCTACTGTGAGATATCGTTCAGTCAAATGACTGTTCATTGATAAATATACTGTATTGTCACCATTGGATTACCACATAAGTGTTGTCCTCTGTTTCCCATAATATTATCTCTTATTATAACTCAATAGAAGTGTTTATTAAAGACAACACTCGGAGCGCTTCCAGAGTAGGTCTTAAAACCTTATGATAATTGATTAGTTAGACTACTGTATTGTTGGCCATATTCAGTACAATATACAATACAGTAGTTTCGTATGTCTTAAGAATAATATACAAAAGTGTACCTCAATTGAAGGTCTATTGATTTTATTTACATTTTGTTCACTCATTGGCTATAAATTTGATGTTACTTATTAGATGACAAGAATTTATTTTTTCATATTTATATAAATTATATACGAGCTAAGGGTTAATTAACCATATTCTTGTCACTCTGTATATATGATCAAGGACATAAAAACTAAATTATGTGTATGATACTGTATGAAAATTGAAACTGAGTGTTTATGTAATTTAAACATAATTTGATTTATTTGTTTATTTAATTTAATTTAAAAATTCTTGAGTGTCGGGTCACATACAGTAACACTAACCATAGCTTACTGTATAAGAATTGGTTCAAAACTTCATTTGTAAATTTAATGCATTAATAATGAGGAGATGAGCAGAATTTGGTACAGTATTGACAATACTTGTGATTCCCTATATGTTGTATTATCTTTTAATTTTGATATCAAAAAAGTTCATTTTGTATCCATTTTGCGAAACTTATTACAGTATTCTTATTCTTACATCATATTAAAAATCGGTAATAAGTTAGTATCCAGTAACCTATAGATACAATAAACCATTTTCATATTTTAAAATATCTAATATTTATCAAATTGGCAAGTTATTTATTTAGGTAGTTATCATTTATAAAACTTATAAAACATCACAATTGTTGGATATGATTGTTGATTGAACACTGTTGAACCAGAATTACAGTGCAACTATTATTGTGCAAACCAGAATGTAAGCCAAGTTATTTAAAACCTAATAAATATTTAATTTCGATTTTATAAACTGAATGTAACTAAAGTTCAGACACTTTAAACATGTCATTTTGTAATTCAAATTAAGTCACTTCATTGACAATATTAATCACTTAACCACCCGGAAAATAAATATTTATAATATAAATCAGTGCATAATAGGTCCCCAGATTATGCCAATCATTTTCACTCAATTTTGTAATCAGTCAATAGAGACAATCCATTTCCAAAGTTTAATAAATAGATTTATAAATGAGTTTACAAAATATTTAATAAAAATAACTCTTATAACCATATATTAAAAAATTTGTAACAAAATAAATTCTGTTCTAAATATCAACAAAAATTAAATTTATATCAAGTTAGATATCATTGAGTCCTCCCTTTCCTCTCGTGGTCCTCATTAGTCAACATAAAGGCCGGCATATAAAAGGTCTCCCCGTTTCGCAACACGAATTTGAGTAAAGGATTCGGTGCCGTGTTTTTGGTCGATCCGATTGATGTATAACTGAATCCATTTAAAAATATACAATTAGTATAAATCAAACACAAGTAATAACAGATACCATACCCGCGATCGTATAGCGAACAGTAGAGCACATGATTATCGCGAATAAAAGCCCAGATCTGACTGTACGACCACTTAAGCAAAGGGGAAATACGCATAAATTGAGGCCAACCCTCATCAGTCATTTGAAACTCATTGAGTACTACATGTTTAGGCAGATCACTGGCACGAGTGCCCATAAGTATGGCTTTGATTTTGGTCTCATTCTTGAGCTTTTGCATCGATTTCTTAAAATCCGAATCGGAATACGATATAAGGTTTAAGTTATATCTGCGGACAGACTGTCGGACAAAGTTCTCGAGTGAGGGAAACGATTCGGGAATTGAAATGTAAAATGTATTCAAACTATTGTTGGGATATTTGGCCACAAAAATACTGTAAACGATATGCAGTAAAGCAGTGCAATCTTTACCGCCGTTAAAAGCAACGCAAATCTCTTCGGGTTTGTACTCATTGAAGGCTTTTGTAATTAATTCAAAACTATTGTTCGCGTATTCATTATCTGAGCAATACTTCGAGAGTGAGTCTAAACTTTGTTGAGAATTGGGGGCAAATCTATTGGTGATGGCATTGGCCGGCAGTAAGAAACGAAACACAGCTTCCGCTCGACTGGTTATCGACTCAGAGCTCGAGCTAAAAGTCACCGAAAATGTTTGATCACATTCTGGTACAACAGCCGTCTTCACAGCTATTGTCGGACATTCAGAGCATGTCTTTTGAATGACTGATTGCAGAGCCGTTTCCTCGCAATTGATATCCAAAGACGCGACAAAAGTATTCATTCTAAACAAGTGCACAAATAACAGGCGATTAGACAACAATCATAAAAACCTAATTAAACGTTTGAATAGATTGCGGATCAGGTGAAGAAATAACAAATCATAAAACGGCGGGATATTTACATATCTTTAGAGTTCATATATTTGTCAAAAAAATTGTCATCATTTCAAGCAATCATTCATTTGATAAACCATTAGAAACTTACTTTCAATAAAACAACGATAAACCAAAACACAATTGAAATAAAACCTACAAAAAAGATAAAATTAAGTGTTAATAGACTATACAAGAGATAATACTCTTAAAATGGATTCAATCAAATTGATAATCAGGTGAAGAAAACTAATCATAAAACGGCGGGATATTAACATATCGTCACTCATTTGTCCCTATCTGTGTTGTCATCATTTATCAATTCAATTCAACACCGATTAACAAACAAAAATAACTCACGTGTAATAAAAATAAATTATTTGACCAAAACATCAACAGTTATCCTGAAAAGACGTATCAAAAAGCAATTAACAAATGGCAATATATAGTCAATAAGATTAAAATCAAGTGTAATATCAGGTGTGAAGAAAATAATCACAAAACGGCGGGATATTTAACATATCTGTCACTCATTTGTCCCTATCTTTGTTGTCATCATTTGAAGACAATTTAGCAAAAAACCAATCAATCGATTGCTTACCTAAAATTTGTGAATAAGACACCAACACATGAAACGCGACTGAAAAATGGAAATCAAAAGTCAGACTTTATATGTTTGAATCAATTGTCATCAAATTTAATCAAATTATCAGTAATTAATGGAACGGAAGGTTTCTTTTCATATATTCTTCAACTGGCAAAATATATCATCACTGAAGCCGTCAATTAAGTCATAAACAAGACCTCAAACTTACTTCTTATCTTAAGTTCACATTTTTTCTGCCAATAAAATATAAAAATAAATCAATTCAACAAATCACACATACAGTACATATGCAATCATTTGTCTAATTATATCAGAATTAATCATTGCGTTTATTATCATTAGTAATCAATGAGATTCCCACTGAGCAACATATTCATCACGTAATTAAACAAATGGTAAGTTACAAGAGATACACACCTCTTCAGTGGATCAGACAAAGCAATCACGGGTTCCAATGCGATGACTGTTCAGAAAAATAAAGTATATTAACAAAACTAGTCTTAAATAATCATTGAATTGATTGGGAAATCTACTAATCAGATAGAGCTAAATAATAATCATACAGATGTCAGAGATCTCGGTGGTAATCGATAAGATTGTCATCATTATTACATTTACAAGAATACAATAAATAAGAAAATCAATTACCTCTTCGTCACAACCGGGTTAACACATCGCATCTCCTATTGAAGCCAAACAGACAATACAGTTAACACGTGTTCTCAAGTGATATCAATTGAATCAAATGAATGAATGGTCAGTAAGGCTGATACGATCACTCATTATATAATCGGTAATGAATTTTGGGAAGTCTTATCGATTTCATCAGGTTTTGCAAATTCAATTCAAAAATCATTTCAAATGGAGGCATACCTTAAAGCCAATGACTTCTCGTGTATTGCGTTAACTGTAGGGATAAAAGTCAATCAATACTTCATTTCAATGTCAATGAATGTGTGGGAAGTGATGAGATAGTGGTCAGATAGGGGCGAATATATGATAATCATTAATATCAGTTGAACTATAAAATCATCACTAATTTTACGTCTAATTATGGCTACATTTCGTACAAATCATCGATACTTACAGTCATTTAAACCTCATTTTTAAACGCAAGCCATAAATCGCTTCAAACATCTGTCGAGTAATTAAAAAATGCATTTTAAATATAAAACTCAAAACACGTGTCGATATGAGGAAACAATTATCGAGTAATGAATGGTCAGAGAAAAGTGGTAATAAGACTCGTCATCGAAAGCACTCAAGAGTAGCAAATAACTGGTCATCAGTTGAGCCATTACTCTATAATTGCATTTAATTTAACATAATTTCCAATCAATTACTTACCAATGAGTGAATGCATTGAAAAAGTGCACAAAACGTGGCATTTATTTAACCACTCATTTGTCTATCAATTAATATACACTCTATTGAATGAATGCTCACATTTACCCACTACTTAGTGTTACATTTAGTTTAATAAATAAATAAATTTAATAGCAATTCATATCACATTTGAATGAATGGTTAAATGAGATGAAAGTGGTTGTGAAGTGTGGACTCAAATGAGGAGAAGTAGTGATAATTGTGAGAAGACTTCCGCTTAAAAGCATTGGTTTCGGTGCTCAAGACATGCGCTCTCAACACATGTGTCTCGATCTCTCGACAGTGGACCGCAAATCACAATCAAGTTTTCCATTGAAACTCAACTTTTGGTAGAGTTTTTAAGTTCACAAAACCCGGCACTCGATAACCCAATCCCCAAATCCTCACATTATTATAATTAGAGTCACTTATTATAATACAAACCTGAGGTGTGAAGTAATGCAAACCTCCCAGGCACTTTTTATAGGATTTTCATATTTTGCACCTGAAAGGCTTAAGCTTTATTCAAATCCGTGTCGATTATAAAGTGTCCGGGTAGTGGTTTGGCTGTGAACTTCACATGCTACATGTATTTAAAGATTAGCTAAATAAATATATTTTTAATATTGTAATGTTATTTATTTTATATTTAAATATTTTATCTTATCATAATAAATATAAAACTAAATTCTTATTATTTTGCACCAAAAATTAGATCAAATGATTAGTGTATTCCGGATTAATTAATTTGAATAATACGGTCATTGGTGCCAATCATTGGTGCGCCAGTAGTGACCATCACTCGTGAAGAAATACATGTCTAAGACATGTCTAAGTCGTTGATTTACAGCGAGTGATGGCATCGATGACCGAGTCTTTGCAGAATGTAATGCTTAGAACACCAGTGGTTGAGGACAGACATAGGACTGCCATAACATACCTTTGGATCTAATCGAGTAGATTATGATTCAGAAATGATAGCATTTATTTCAAATGAGTTCATAACTTATTAAATATTTGTAACAATTTTAAGTTATTTAAAAATATTTTAATGCTAATCACATCTATTGTTATAACCATAATTAATTTATAAAGCTTCAAAATGTCTAATTAGTGGACATGGATTCGTTTGTCAATTGAAACTATTTGACCAGAATTGAACATGATAATTGCAATAAACATAACAGTAATCATAAACATAGAATACACTGGTGATCCCACATTGACACTTTAGTGCATTACATACATTTAACTTATTTTATGTTATGCATTGAATTGTCTAGAAATTTGACAATTTATCATATGATTAAATCATTCACAGACAGGCGTTAGAACTGGGTAAACTTATTAATAATATGAGTTTATATAACCATATAACCAGGTTTCATATAACCTTATGGAGATTAGCACATGAATGAATTTTTATTTAAAACTAATAACGCCTGTCTGTGAATGATTTAGTCATATTATCGGATAATAATACCGTAAGAGATTCAATTGGACCTTATAGAATATTCTTATATTAAAATACTATATTTTACTTTAGAGTCCTCCCTTTAAGTATGACATTGCATTGAATCATAAATTATGGTTTGTAAAAACATTAAATTTTCAATTAAAAATTTTAATTAAACTCAATTAAAAATATGAATATATTTTGTAATCCAATTAGAGATTTTAATTTGATATATCAGAAAATAGTTTTAAAGCCTCTTAATTCTGCAATTCATTATAACTCAGATTTTATATTTAAAAACTGTACATTTGTTTGCAATTAATATATTTACTGAACGAGACCTCAAAGTCTCGTAAATTTAGTGAAATATAGAATAATTTAGTTTTAAAAAATTCACATTCAGTTATAAAGTAGTTATAAACTCAAAACACTTTTTATATGCCTTGGACCAATATTTAAAACTCAACATTTGCTAACATTTAAGACAATTTGATTATCACTAAAATGAGAGTTCAAACCAAAGTTATTATTCTCCTATTATCTGTCATTGCAATCGATGTAATCATATGTCAAACAATAGATAAAACTCAAGACTCGGGTAATACTGGAGACTCGGATAAAGGCGACGACTCGGAGGAATCCGAAGAAGATATGAGTCGATGGTTTGCTGAGGCATCGGCCGAAGATGGCAGCAATGAATCAGATGAAGAACCGGTCATCACTGAAGTGCCCACCGATGAGACAACTGCTGTCAGAAATTCCAATATGAAGAGCGGTGTTGACCGTAAAGAAGGCGATGAAGACACGAACCATCTCTTGAAGCAGAAGAGCATAGAGTCTGAAAATACTGGACACTTGGAGGGCAGTGAACCGGAAGAATCTGAAGAAGAGATGAATCAGTGGTATAGCGAGGCTTCGGTGGCAGACGGCGGACATGAGTCTGACGGTGAAGGAGTCGAAGAAGGGTCGAACACACAGAGCGCCGGTAGTGGTGAAGAGGACGGAGAATCTGACAAATTCTTGAGACAACAAAATGATGACAAAGAAGAGCCGTTGAGTGGGGCCGGGAGGTCAGCCCTCTGTGGACGAGACAACAGACCTCTAGTGGAACAGGCATTTGGCGTCGGAGGGTCTGGTCATCAATACGTTTACCTGAAGGTGAAGGGATCTCAACAGTTGTATCGATTGAACAAATTCTCGTATAATAGGGATACCTTTGATATTACATACGAGTCCATAACACTTATGGATAGGAGTAAGTGGTCCACAACTGACCAGAAGATGGTTGATCTCATGCAACAGAAAAAGCTTTGGTTTCAAATACCTTATGGAGACGTACCCACACTTATAGGCATTCACTACGGAAAGGTAGGCCATCACTAAGACTTATTGTAACACTTAAGACATTGATTACTCTTCACAGGAGGACGACATCGATCAGATTCTTGCTCATAAAGTGAAGGCCACTCGTGACGACTTCGAGAAATTGAATCTGGAACAGGTCAACGTTAACCTATACAAGTACGCGCCCGGGGATGATCCGGCTAACCTGATGTCTCTGTTCCTGAAGTTCCCTCAGGACCACATTCAGACCCGAATCAAAGCCATCGCTAACTTTCCAATTGATAGTCACAACTATGTATTCGTCGGTTACCGACTCTTTGTCTATTATCTCGGTATTCAACCAATTCTTACACAGAATGATAACAGAATCGCATGAATTAATACTAAATTCTTTGTGATTTTGTTTATGAACCAAGAGGTGAGACCACCAAATATAATGACCACTGCACCCGAACCTCCGACTGAGTTCAAGAGACACATAATGGTGCGAAAGAAGGTTAAGTACGACGGGAGGGCAGAGTGGGACTGGAGTCACGATGAACAGAACGGTCGGTGTTTCGTACAAAATGAGGTGAACGCCGCCTTCCCATTGAATCCAAACGAGTACTTACCTGGTAACTCAACCTGGTCATTCGAGATGATTGAGATGGACAACGATAACTACTATATTAAACGATTCACTTTGGATCCATTCCATGTGGCCGTCAACTTCATCGTATTCCCGGACTTCGATTGGATCCGCAACGGAACGGTGGCCGACTTGTTAGGCTGCGTCACCCCCACCACCACTACTACTACTACTACTACCACGACGACGACTACGACTACCACCACGACTACTGCCACTCCTATCCCACCTCAAGCCCTTCCTAAAGAAACAACTACCGAAGAAGCGAGTACTACCACCACGACTACTACTCCTATCCCAACTCAAGCACTTCCTGAGGAAACAACAACTGAAGAACCGATTACTACCACGTCTACTGACACTCCAACTATTCCAACTAACACTGAAGGATCTACAGAGGCACAAACCAGTGAAGAACCGATTACAACGACACCATTAACTCCTCCCGCATCTCCTGAAGTGCCTACCGGTGCAACCGATGCTTCTCCTCCTGAAGTGCCTACCGGTACAACTGATGCGTCTCCTAGCACTGTGTCTCCCACACCGACAACCACATCGCCAACCAAACTGAAAACGGGACCAACTCTATGGCCACTATGGGTAGTGTTGGGACTAATAGCCTTCATTGTTATCGTTTGTCTATTGGTTTACCTGTACTTACATTGGCCTGCGTTTCAAAATGCAGTCAAACCTCAATCAAAGGGAAGCCGACCGCCGACCAGACTTAAGAAAGTGACACCAATTACAGAAGAACATGAGATGGGAACAGTGAGATCCGTGGGTGAATAAGCATGGTACTCATCATTATTTATGAGTACTTTTCTTTAAACCATGAAATGGTAGACAATTAACTAAATTATTTGATTTGAAAGTAATTTGTTGCATATTTGATTTTTGTTGTAATATTTAGAAACATTTATTTTGTAAATTTTCATAATAAAAGTATTCACTTAGAGTTTAAGTTTTCAATATTTATTCGCAGTATCAGTGGAAATGACTTAGAAATTAAAATTAAGATAATTGCCGAACGTTTTCGGTCAACACTGTGACCATCATCAGGGCTTAAGATGTTATAAGATATGAGAATAAGTTTCACATATTTATATTTGTGTTCACAAAAAAGTGTTTTATTTTTAATTCTTATTCTATGAAAGATTTCAAATAAATTATGTTTTAAAGTTCAAATCAAACACACTCTTTGAAATCAGTTTCATTCACTTCTGTGTCATAAATGCCAATCAATGACACTATCATTGATATCATATATGAATATAATGGCAAAAAGTTCGATAAAATTATGTTTGAATAATAATTAGTTCAATGAGAGATAAGTTTACTATACAATAGAGTTATATAATAGAAAATCGCGAGAATTGGACTCAATGATCAATTTATATATAGTATATAATTTTTATATTTGAATTTTGATTTCCTTAAACCGTATAAAACATATCATTAAAAATGTCTTTTCTGAATTTAATGGCTATAATGATGTTCATAATTAAGAGTGAATGCAATCCAGCAAATGGTGTCATATACTCAAGAGATGATTCCGAGGCCTTTATAAATGTTGTCCTTATAATTTTTGTGATCGCAATTACCTTCACTGTAATCGTTATCATTATCTATTGGTGTCGTAATAACATGAATAAGACGACAACAGCTAACCTAA